GCCGCCATCCAGGCCTACGAGGACATGGTGAGGCAGGTGAGCTGGCCTGCTGCCAGGGCTGGGGGCAGAGCAGGTGGGCCCCTGGGAGAGCTGGGAGAGCCAGGGGGGGCTGTGGTGACACCTGAGGCACTTCTGACGAAGGGACTCCCTGCAAGAGGACCTTTGGACCTGTCTTCAAGCCCTGGAAACGAGTCCCCCGGGCCCCCTGATAGGGGGGTCCCTATCTCCCTCCTCACTCCTGGGGCTTTTCACGGGCTCCTTCAGGTTCAGCTTGTGTTCTGCTGTAGTGGGTATGAGCTGGGCCGCTAACCTCCAGGTCAGCAGTTTGAAACGACCAGCCACTCTGTGGGAGAAGATGGGACTTTCGACTCCTGTAAAGAGAGACGGTCTTGGAGCTTCACAGGGGCAGTTGTACCCTCTCCGAGAGAGTAGTTGTGAGCAGGAACCAACTCGATGGCAGTGGGGTTGAGTTTTGGCCTTGAGAGCAGGCTGGTACCTATGATCTCAGTCAGTTTTCCCAGCAGTCCCAATTGGCAGATGGAAGCGCTGTGCGATCACCATTTAACAGGTGAGGAAGCGGTGCCCAGCAAGGAGCTCTCAAGGTGAGTGCCGTTCAGGGACAGAGGGCAGGTCCGTCTGCAAAGCTTCTGAGAGGTCCCGGAGCATTGAGCAGACAGTGCGGAGGTTAGGAACCCGGCTTTCCACTTCCGTCAGGTGGAGCAGTAATACACCCGTCTCCTGGGGCTGTTGCCAGGATTAAATGGGGAGGTTCAGGTTCAGGAGAAATAGCTCACAAATGCGTGGTCCTGAGGATGCACTCAATCGTGGGCCCTACATTTGGAAAACAGAGTTCTTGGAAAATATGGGCTTGATGATGGAAATCATGCTAGAGATCACATGATAGAATTTTGCAAGACTGTCAACTTACTCACTGACAATATTCTTTTTCAACAATATGAACAGTGACATAGCTACATTTGAAGGGTGCAGATGGAAGACCCGGGAATTGAATGGACCACATCTGTGGATGGAGACGATGGAGGAGTTCACTATCATCTGCCAAAAGCAGGCCGGGGGCCAACTGCAAAATAGACCATCAATTGCTCAGCTGCAAATTCATGTTGAAACTGAAGAAAATGAAAACAAGCCCACAAGACCCAAACTACAACCTTAAGTCTATCCTATCTGACGCTGGAGAACAGATGCGATCCATTGACCACTCATAACTGGAGACTGATGGGTTGTGGGACGACATCAAGAACTTCATGCATGAAGAAAGCCAAAGGCCATTAAAAACATGGGAAAGACAGAAAAGACAAAATTAGATGGCAGAAGAAACTGGAACTTACTTTTGATTGTAGAAAAAGTAAAGCTGCTAGAAGAAATGAAGTCAAAGGGCTGAACAGAAAATTTCACAGGGCAGCTTGAGAAGACAAAGTATCCCACTGAAATGGGCAAAGGCCTGGAGTGAGATAACCAAAAGGAGAGAGAACATGCCCCACATTTCTGAAGCAGAAATCACTGACGAAGAAATTCAAGCCTCGAGTTTCAACCTTGAAGGATTCTAGGGGCCCAAATACTGACTGATACAGGGAGCATCGAAAGAAGTTGGGAAGAATATACAGTCACTGTACCAAAACTAATTGGTTCACGGTCCAGCATTTTCCCAGGCAGCATCTGATTAGGACCAACGGTATTGAAAGAAGACATCCAAGCTAGATTAAAGGGACTGGCGAAAACAAGGCTTGAGGAATTGATGGAGTACTCATTGAACTATTTCAACAAGCTGATGCAGTCCTGAAAGAACTCATTTGCTTATGTCAAGAAATGTGGAAGATAGTTTCCTGGCCGGCCAATTGAAAGAGATCTAGATGTGTGCCTATTTCAAGTAAAGGTGACCCAGCCGCATGTGGACATCATTGAATAAGATCACACGCAAGTAACCTTTTGGTGAAGATTTTAAAAAAACGATGCAAGAGTACATTGACAGGGAACTGCCATAGATTCTAGCTAATTGCGAAGAGACTGTGCAATGGGGGATAGCTTTGCTAACAGCAGAAAGATCTCGGCTGAACGCAAGGATACCAGAAAGATGTTTACTTGTGTTATTTTGTCGATACACAGGCATTCAACTATGAATAACATTGTGAAGAATGGGACTCTCAGGACACTTAGTTGTGCACATGTAAAATGTAGACCAAGAGGTAGTTGTTCAAATAGAACAAGGGGGATATAGTGTGGTTTAAACCTAGGAAAGATGTGAGTTTAGGTTGTATTCTTTCGCCCTACTAATTTAATCTGTATGCGGAGCAAAGAGAAGCTGAACTATAGGAAGAAGAACACAGCCTCAGGATTGGAGGAAGATACATTAACAACTTGTGCTAAGCAGATGGGAGGAGTCCTGATGGCATAGTGGTTAAGTGTTGGGCAGCTGACCACAGGGTCAGCAGTTCAAAAGCACCAGTTGCTCTGTGGGAGAAAGATGAGGCTTTCTACTTCCGTAAAGGGTTATAATCTTGGAAACCCAGAGGGCCAGTTAGTTTTACCGTGTCCTACCGGGTCCCTCTGAGTTGGAACTGACTTGACGGCAGTGAGATATGCGGACGGCATCACCTTGCTTGTTGAAAGCAAAGAGGACTTACAGCTCTTACCGACGAAGATCCAGGTCTTCCTGCCATGATCCTAAGAAACTATGAATCTAGTTACTGTCTCCATAGATTGACCTATCCTGGATTTTATATTAAAAATAACATATGAAAATAAAAAGAAAAAATAAACAGCAATAACAAAATTAAATGGAAAAAAACTCTGTTCAAAAGATATCAGAAAATATCAAAAACTAGTGCAAGTTTAAAGCGGGTCAAAACGGAGAAGAAATGATAAGGTATGAAATGTTCACCTAACTGTGTCTGCATTCGTCCACTTGCCAGTGCTCTCTGCCTGACAGTTGTAAGCCCTGGCATTGTCAGTGGCCTCGAGGAAATGACGTGGACTGCCAGAAACACAGAGAAACCTGTCTTGGAAGAAGTACAGCCAGAATGCTCCTTAGAAGCAAGGGTGGTGAGACGTGCTCTCACGTACTGTAGCCATGTTCTCAGGAGGGGGACCAGGCCCTGGAGAATAGCATCATGTTTGGTAAAGTAGAGGATCAGTGAAGGAGCCCTGTGGGGTAGTGGTTACATGTTGGGTTGCGATCCACATGGTTGGCAGTTCGACACCACCAGAAGCTCCACGGGAGAAAGACTGGGCTTTCCTGCTCCTGTAAACAAGTCCAGTCTCGGGCTAACCTCTGAAGCCAGGGCGGGGCATGCGGGCGTCTCTGACAATGCCTTCTCCTCGCCCAGGTCCAGAGCTCACAGTTCATCGTGGTGGTAGGAGGAGGATCCGCAGGAGTGGAGATGGCAGCAGAGATTAAGACAGAATATCCTGAGAAAGAGGTGAGGCTGCCAGCCCTGGCCTTTAACGCCAAGCGGTTGGCTTGTTTCTGCTTTATCTTTTGGGGCCCTGGAGACAGATAGCCCACTGACAGGACAGGGAATGTTGTCCCACCTCTGCTCTTTGTATGGGGGAGCCCCCTAAAGTGTGATTCCATGGGA